TCATCAAGCCAAATACGAGCTTGTGCAAATGATGCTGGTGCTAGAATAATGAGAGCTTAATTAATTATAATGTAAAAGCTAGATAGTCAAATGATGCTTGATATCAATATTTTAGTCACTTTTTGTCTAATCGTTTTTTTAACTGAAATAAATTGTATTAGTAGTATTGTCTTAGTATGAAGGGTAAGAATGCTTTAATATTTTAGACTAGCACTAAAAAAAGTATTTTGATATTTCCTAAGACGAAAGGTCTAATATCGGAATCCAATCGAATTTTGCTATAAAAATCGGTGGATATTGCGAGTCTCAACGGGATCCGATGAGATGATTTTGTTCTGAAACTTTCTATGCGCATCCATAATATTATGTAACAGTTTTATGCTGGTTTGTATTAGTAAAACAATAATTCAGCACTCTTATTAAACGGACGTTAGCATAATGGAGAGACTGACGACTGTTTTAAGAAAAGAAGTGTAGTTCACTTTTGAGAATTCATGTTTTAGAAAGAGAACAGTATTGTTTTTTCATGGATGCTATTAGCATTTGCATCATGCTAATAGAAATCCAGTGTGCATGCCGAACCATTGTTTCTTTCATCAGTTACTGACATTAAAAAAGTCCGGCAAACTTGTAAAATTCTAACAAAAAGTATTAATATTATTCTAGTGCAAATAATTCAGCCGATTGACTTAGTGAATACTCTTGTGAGTTCTATCTAAATTTCCTTTATCAATTAGTAAATCAAAGTTATTTATCTGATTCATAAAGGTTCACTTAAATAATTAAAAAAAATTGTCTACGATGATATGACATCTTTATTTATCTATCGATTAAGTCGTCTCTTTTTCTATTCTTTCTCTTGTATTTCTGTTTATCATATATATCGAGGGTGTAGGTGAGTCTCTACTTCTTTTACACCCACACCCACGTTCTCAAGATTTTTACAGATTATTCATCATGGATTATCTGTTTCTTTATAAACAAAAATATAGGAGAAAAGAATTATACAAACTTACCGTCATTGACAATATTCTGTTGTCGACAAAAGATGACATCTTCAATTTCTCGAGCTTCTGCCGGTAAAATCAAGTTAAGTTTTGATATTGATGTAAGACCTGGATTAATTTCATCGGAAATTGATTTCGATGAAAAAAGTAGATTGACAAGATGTTTTAATCGTTGAGCTATGATTATAGCTGTTGTCTCATCAAATAGATCACGCGAGCAGGTTAGACAAAATGATAGTTTACTATCATCTGATGTTGGATTATAAAGACTAGTCAACGCAAAATCAAATTTAGCAGCACCATAAGATTGCTCCATTGGTAATTGTTCCAACGTTGCAGTGTCAATAAACCATTGGCTCTTTTCGGAGAGAGTGATGAAATTGAGCGCTGTTTCAAGAAATGGAACGTTTGACTGTTTCAGTTGAGAGTCTGTAAGAATATGCTGTAGTGGATAATGAGAATGTTCAAGAATTGATACACATTTTTCTCGCACATGTTCGACAAGTTCATCAAATGACCAGTCAGAATCAACTTGAATACGATATGGTAATGTTGAAATAAACATTCCAATCATATTCTGTAATTCAGCTCTGTATCGATTAGCATTGAGACAAGAAATACATAAATCATTTTGTCTATATGTTAGCTTGAAAAGAAAGGCATAGAATGTAACTAGACATAGTTGAAATGGTGTGACTTGATGGGAAGATGCACAATCAAGAAATGATGTCGAAACCTCATTATCAAATGAGATATGAGCAATGGAAGCATATCCAGATCGTTGATCACTATATAAGAAATGCCGATCAACTGGTAGTAACAATCGACATTCTTGATTGTATCCATTCAGTTGAGAACGCCAAAACTCACGCAATGGTGTCGTGTCGATTAGGCGCTCATGAACACTATAATCAATATATTGTAATGATTCTTCATCATCTATCCATGTCATGTTACTATTGTAAGTATTACATAGATCATTTAGAAAAATTGAGACACTTGATTGATCAATTGCAACATGATGAAAGCCGATAACGAGAACATCAGAATTTGTAATAATTTCTTTATCATTATTTTCATCCGATATCGTGTGTTGTCTGAGAATTTGACAATAAAAAACACGACCACTTGATAAATCGAACAAATTAGGATTAGTACTTGTTTGTAAAATAATACTGTGAAGATCAGTTTCACCTTTGAATGTTTGATCGGCAGCCAATGCAAATGTCAGATGTTTATCAGTGATAGATTGTTCTAAAGTACTATCATCGTTGTTGAAAACTAGAGAAGTTCTTAATATCTTATGTTTGCTTAGGATACAACGAAGAGCTTGCAATAAACGATCCGCTGATAATGAACCTTTTGTAACCTGAAGAACATCCAGCTCATTGTAAATGGCAACTTTTCCAGGAAAACGCATTTTCTCATCAAGATATATGCGTTCTTGAGCATATGATGCAATACCTATAGATTAGGAGAAAAATATTGTATCCTGCTGCAGAAGTGTTTCTATATGCCTTACATTGACTAATATGTAGTGCGCGCCATTGTTTCGCTTGTATATTATTGATCTTAATATTTTCTAGTAGTTTTGCATGTTCAGCTATAGTATTATGGTCAAGGAATGTTCGAATATTTATTGTTTCCTTATCGCAATTAAATAACGTTCGATAATGTTGATAGATTCGAATAAATAGAAGAGAATGACCACCAATGCTAAAAAAGTTTGCAATTGTCGAAATTCGACTATGACCCAATATTTCAGACCACAGCGAATGCACAAGTATTTCGACTTTTCCCTTTGGTTCTATGTATCTGCGATCATTAGCAACCGTTGCGAGAACTGAAAAGTCTGGTATGGGAAGGTTCTTACGATCGATTTTTCCATTGACATTCAATGGCAGCTTTTCTAATACAATAAATATAGATGGAACCATATATTGCCGAAGATATTTGCTGCAGTGTTGTCGAAGTTCTTCTGTATCGATCTGTGAGTCATTCGAGACTACATAGGCAACAAGAAAATCATCGTTCTGTGGAGCTTTGGTGACAAGACAGTTAGAGATCTTGTCTGGAGACCAAGTGATTATTGTATTTTCAATTTCGCTTGTTTCCACTCTTTGACCATGCACTTTAACTTGAAAATCAATACGTCCAGCATGTACTAGTTCGCCTCGTTCGTTATATCGAGCTAAGTCACCTGTTTTCATATAAATCTGGTTATCAATAGTAACAAACATATTATCAGTTCGCTCTGGATCATTGTAGTAACGGTTAAATAGGGCTGATCCTACGATGAAACAATCGAAAGACCATTCTTAGTAGGGATTGAAAAGAAAACACTTCATACCTCCTATATGCAGTTGAGCAATTTTACTGGATCTATTCGTACTGTTTATGGTCTGCCCTTGTTTATCAATGAGCAAACATCGATAACCAGGAAGTGGATAACCCATAGGTACAAAACCATCATCGAAACTAAGTAACCGACCGCCCAGAGCCCCATTACATTCAGTCATACCATACTGGGTACATACTTTGATATCAAACGATTGTAACACACCGACTAACTTCACTAGTTGTTGAGGCTTCATGGCTTCGCCTAAATGATATGGAAATCAATTAGAAAAGCATTCTTTTACAAGTAAATGGAGATTTCTGAGGTACCGCCTATGATCACATTGCGTACAAACTGCAGAGTAGCCAGTCGTTGGGTTTTCTCAAAGTAATTGGTGAGAGCTTGAGTTATCCCAGGACCAATTGTAATTGTCGTCACTTGTTGTTGTATCAGAGTTTGAGAAAAATAGTCCATATCTAAATGATCATTCGGTCTTAGCAACACAAGTGTGCCACCAACAACTAGTGGTAACATGATTTCGGATATATGTAAAATCCATGAACACGCCGCAACCTGTAGCACCTGATCTTGACTAGTGTACACGTGAAGGTCCCATTGACTAAAAGCACGAATGCTAGTTGACAAGCTTCGAAAAGAATGAACTACAGCTTTGTGCCGACCAGTTGTACCAGATGTGCAAATAATAAGAGCATCACCTTGTTCTTCGCAATCTGGAAGCTCTTCTATGTCTTCTACATCCGATAATGGAGAAAGAATCTCGTCTAGCATAATAAATTGTTTGATTGAATTTGTTGTAGGGAATTGATGGCTGGTTTTTTGATGTATCAAAACGCACGAACCTCGTAATTGTTCGAGAATCGAAGTAATCCGTTCATATGGATCTGTGGGATTTAATGGACAGTACACACCACCCGCGCATATAATGCCAAATAACCCAGAAACCATTTCCAGACTTCGTTCGACAAACTGATAAACGATCTGACCTCGAACAAAGTTCGAACGATGCAGATAATAGGTTGTGCGTTTGATTTGTTCCACTAATTCGCTGTACGTCCACATTTGATCATCAAGTGCTACCGCCACTTTTTGTGGATGTAGTTGAATTGTGCGAAACAATTGTTCCAGTATATAGTATGGAGCAGTCATGTTTATGTTAGTTTCAAAACTACTAAAAACTTAATAAACTAAATCTGAAAAGAAAAATAGTGAGAGAATCGTGTAAAGTAAATCTCGAATCAGATCATCTGATCTAGCCTGTATTTGTTCGTTCAAGCGAGATTATGCATGCAAAAAAGAAAAAAAATATGGTTGTGTTCAGATTTTGTAACAGAGATCGGTAAAATTACACTCTGATAATCGGATAAAAATTGATGTGTTGTTGGGTTCTTGTTTGAGTTCAGTAATGATCGTGGAACGTGTTCACCTATGCGATCCCATCTTAATCATTTAAACTGCTGGTATTTGCTTCAAACTCTATGCTCTGTCCAATAAACCTCGTAAAAGATATCGATAAATCGGATTACACTCGCTTACTCTATGAATCGAACTACATGAAGACTGTATTATGTTAATCAGACTTACAAATGGTTTCTCAATTTTAGAGATAACCTTGATATAATCTCATTTCCTATACCAAAATCGTTGTAAATTTTAAATTTAATCGTTTAATGGCTAAAGACGTTACTTTTATGATCGCAGACGCGCGTTAAAAACATCATTTTTGACGAAATTTCACTGTTCATTTGACGATCAGTCTTTAACCGAGAAAAACACGGTAAGCGTACAATAATCTGCAACTTTATTTCACCATTCATAATAACCATATCTATCGAAAATGCTAATTATTAAGTATATAGATATATATTTATTTAAATTATTTTTATTAGATAATTTCACTTACATTAAATATAAGACAATCAGCACTAGCTTTGTTTTGATCTTGTAATAAAATAATTTGAGAAAGATTGAAAATAAATTCATTTCTTATTTTTATGTCAGATGAAATAGAATATTTAGATGAATCTAATGGAAAATAAATAGATAAAATTATTAAAAATATTTTAAAATAAAAAAATCTGTACTTTATTGTATTAGATTTATTAAATTCAAGATTCATATTAAATATTGATGTATTTTATTGAACATTAAAATGTTTGTTAATAAAACTTGAAATTGTTTTTTTTCAAACACCATCTAATAATAAATGTTGAATTTAATAATAAATTAAAATTCATTGCAATTAATTAAATTATTAAATAAAGAAAGTTAGAGTCTTCATCTTGAGTTATATAATTATTGATAAGATCTATTTGAGAATAATAAAGTCCTTAACCAATTTGTTTTCTTTGAAAATTAAACCGAATTTTTCATAAATACTTGTATCTTCTTGTAAATCTTATTTTTTGAGAAATACATTTTGATGATTTTATATGTTTAATTTCAATTTGTTCTTCTTCTTCTTGTTGAGTATTATCAATTTCTGGAATTTTATAAAAACGAATTTTCATTAAAAATTTGATCAGAAAATGCATAATTATTAATTTCACTGGAATCATTTTGTGAATTTAAAGGATGATTAATTAATGTTACAAATAATAAATATTCTAATAAAATTATTTTATTAATTAATTCATTTTTATCATTTCAAATAAAACGACTCATCGAAAATCTATCAAATATAAGTCGATGTTGTATAATAGATAAAGAATTTCTGTTATCATTTGAATCTGTATTCATTTGTAATTTTCCTATATCAATTAAAATATTTTTATTTGAATATGAATTCATTAGAATAAGTATTTGTGAAGCATTTAATGTTAACTCCGTTTTACATTCAATTGAATATTCATCATATTTTTGTAAAATCGATGAAAGAAAACTTGGTACATTACAAGATGTGTATCTTTATCTTTTCGTTGTTGTTGATTTGTTTGAAATGAATTAATTAATGATGATAATATAAGTTGAAAATATTTGTAAAGAAAAAGAAAATTTTATTTTTGAATTTGACCTTGAATAAATAAATATTGTTCTTCAGTTTTCCTCTCATAATTAAATGAAGATAAATCAAATATAATTAAATTATTTGGTTTATTTTCTTCTAAAATAATATATTGATAACAAAATTTTATATAAAAATCAATAAGATCGTGAGGGTGAGTGAATGAGTAGGATAGACATGATACACCCTTCTATTGAACCATTTGATCAAATTACTTAAAATAAAATATGTAAAAATTCTCCTGTATAATACGTTAAATCTAATAATGCATATAATAAAACAAAATATCAATTTAAAATAAATAATTTAATATAAAATTTTACTTTCAAAACAATAAAATTGAATTTAAGTTATGTTATTTGTTGTCCAGATCAGTTGTAATATCAATTTGTTTTTCAATATTTTACTTTTCTTCTTGAAGAATTTTTTGAACAGCTATCATTTTTTCAATTGTATCATATTCTTCTTTTGCATTTGTTTAATGTTTTTAATCTTTTGATTTTGATTTCTATTAGTTTACAAGAATAATATAAAAAAAAAGAACAAACTTGATTTTGTTTTTAATCAAATATTTTTGAATATAGAATTGTTTTTATTAATTTTAATAAACCAAATAAATGTGTATCAAACATTCGACATTTAATCAGTGAGATATTTCCATTTGCTTTTCAACTTAAAATAAATAAATAATAATAATAGTTTCTTATTTTCTTTTCCACACTAAATACAAGAATCGCATAATATTCCGAAGAATCTGGATATATGCTCAATTTCATAAACATTTATAGAAAAAAAGCTTCTTGATTACTTTGAATATTAATATCTTACCTCTAAGTATGAAACAGAACAAATGTGAGTTGTCTTACTTTTTACTCAAACTTAAATACACGACTCCAGTCATATTATACAATAATCGATATATTTGTCACCTAATTCTCCATTTTAGCAAGCCCACACTTTAATCCGGATACGCCTTTATTTTGCCCTACAATACGAAAAAGGTAAATGCATATTTTTTTCGTCCATACTAGATAAACGATTTCCCTCATATTTTTAAATAGTTGGATACATATCTTATTACATCGACGTTTATATTATGCGTAGAAACAAACTTTTACTGTTGCTCAATACGTAATTAGATTAAAAATAAAGAAAATTGAGAGTGTAGGTAGACGTTGATGTACAACCTCCTCGCGACGTGACTCATCCATGAATAAGTCGATATTCTCATGAATCATTTGTATTATCATGTTTTTTCTTTATTTCTGTCTATATTTTTAAGTCAATTGATGGATTTCGTACAAAATTATCTTATTGTATATATAAAACAAATGAGCTAATATCACTATATGTTCTCTATGAATTTTTATAAACAAACATTTCTTATATATTGAAAATATATTTGTCAATTGATTTATTAACAACCTATTGGAACATACACTTCTTAGACTATCCAATATTTCTAATTCTAAAACCATTCTTTGAAGATATTTCTACTATTTTCAATGCTAGTTCATTTGTATCAGATTTATGAATAATACTCATTATTTTTCAACTTATCTACAGTAATAAACAGAATAATAAAGTAATTGATATTATATATCTGATCTATTTTTTATTGATTAAATCTACTAGTATTCGTTGGTGATATGCATCGTCTTATTCGAAGAATCAGCCAGTATCGTCAGAAACTTTTCTCTTCTTCAACAAAATACATTTCAGCTTATTTTTATTGGAATATTATTTGGTTTATTATTTTATTTTTGTAGAATTATCTACATGTACATAATGAAAAATATCAACAGTTACTATTTACAGAAAGAAACTTTTTAATGCTAAAGTTAAATTTACATCAACTCGGATACTTATTTTAGAATCGATTATTGGTATTTACATTTACATATTTATTGAAAAATATATTAATAAGAATTGTATTTTACTTCTAAGTAGTAATGAAACATATCATATTATGTGTATATATTTTATTCTAAATATTATAACAATTATAATATTTGCCGATAGATAGTTTGGAGTTTTGGAAAGCCGATGCAAGCTATGAACATAATTCAGAAATGAATTGAACTCTTTTCATTAGTTGGAACACATTAACTTCAATTTTCTTCGACTATCTACATTTGTCAATTATTACAAAAAAGACTAAAGTAACTTCAAATGAATTGAAACTATAAACTCACATGTCTTGCTCATCTTTTGTACATTAGAATAGAAAATATGTAATATGAAGAGTTTTTTATAATCACATTTTCTTTTTTCGGTGTTATTTAAGTAGAAGAAAATAATTTGAACTTATTTATTTTTGTGTTCTATGTTCTTTACACTGTACTTTTTTTTGTTAATCTTCTATTTTTTATTTATTATATTCTTTTTATTAATTCAATTCTTATCTTAATAAAATGATAGTCAAATTTAACAGACTAATTCGTTTTTGATTTATAACATTTTAAATTTTCGTTAAAGTGTTAGTTAAAATCATTATTGTTTACTGTATTTATAACTTTTGTTTACTTTTAATCTAAGAAACTGTAGATTTTTGTCACAAAGGTGATACTTTTGAAATAGTAGTCACTATGAGACTAACTGAGGAATAAAAGTCGACATATACGTCAAATAATTCACATCACAAAATCAATATTTATGAATTCAATTTGAACTATTATATTGTCATGTGTACTCATGTGAGATATTAGTATATTACTGTTCACGTATCGTGCCAGAATAGTTTAACAATTATATCTGTATATTTCTGATTTTCAAAATGCTCATTACTCGATTTTCGAATTGTTGTTATATTACTATTCTGACATTATTGAGATATTCAGAAATGTGTCATTACAGTATGATGATGTTTCTTCAGTATCTATAACTGATAGACAAAAAAACAAAAATAAGGAATTTAAATTAAATTATATATATAAACTTCCTGATGAAATACTATTAGTATCAAATTGTTACTAATCTCGGAAAAGTATGAACCATAATAATAGTAAAATACAGATTTATACCTAGGTGTTAATATATGACAAGCAAGAAGATTTATTCTGCATATTTATTTAGATATAAAAAGCGATGAATATGACTGGCAACCAATGGATTTAATAAGTGTTGATTAAAATTGAATGTGAAA